ACTAGGTTTCTCCTATAGACAACTATGAACTCGAGGTGTTAAGCGCGCCCAAAATCACCAAACGGCGTCGGTTTCGGCACTGTGTATGAGCTTGAAAAAGGGGAAAACCCATGTATTTGAGTTGGGTCTCCATGGATACCCACAGGGTAGGTTATCCATTGCCATCCCTACCAACACCTACATCTCCTGCACCACCACCTAGACCTCCCCCAACTCCAAACCCGCTACCATGGCCAGATCCACCACCAACACCGCCACCGCCACCTCCACCTTCACCACCACCAAAGCCACCACCTCCACCCACTCCCCCTCCTGCACCACCACCTAGACCTCCCCCAGCTCCAAATCCGCTACCGTGGCCAGATCCACCACCAACACCGCCACCGCCACCTCCACCTTCACCACCACCAAAGCCACCACCTCCACCCACTCCCCCTCCTGCACCACCACCTAGACCTCCCCCAGCTCCAAATCCGCTACCGTGGCCAGATCCCCCACCAACACCGCCACCGCCACCTCCACCTTCACCACCTCCACCCACACCTCCTCCTGCACCTCCACCTAAACCTCCTCCAGCTCCAAACCCACTACCATGTCCAGACCCACCACCAACACCGCCGCCGCCACCACCTCCAAACCCTCCTCCTCCTCCTACACCACCTCCAGCTCCTCCCCCAATGCCTCCTCCAGCACCTCCACCACTACCAAAACCTCCACCAGCACCCCTACCACCTCCAAAACGGCCACCACGACCACCGAAGCTCCCACCTTCGCCAAACCTCTCTTTCTCAACCTTGTCATCTCCAAGAGTAAGGGCACTCAAGTGGAAGACAATGCTCAAGAGAAGAAGAATCACACAAACCCATTTTTGAGACACACCCATTGCCATTGCTAAATGCTTATCAACTCAATTGGCTTGCTCTTTTTCCACTCAAAGTGCTCTCCTTATATAATACTCTCCCCACAAGCTAAATTATATGTAACCATTAATATTTGCAATTTGCATGGTTATTATGTGACGCGTTAGAACCGTTGGGGCATTGGCTTGATCATTAAATGATATGGGTGAGTGTCAAAGTGGACTTTTAAAATTCATTTGATAATGTTGGTCAACCTACCGACGCTCTATCATAGATCATCATGATTCATGACAATGGAGATGAAGATTGATATATACGTGCCTTCATGGGTCATCAATATTCAGTGCAATGCTATGAAAAGAACCATGTGTTATTTTATATATATATATATATATATTTGGATAATGGGTGATTATTTAATATTTTCAGAGAGTATGGACACATGGTACTCTATAAGGTTCTGATTAGTAGAGAGCGGTAGGGGTCACGATTAATGTTGGGATCGGAAAATAACATGGAGTTAAGTAATTGGTGATTGACTTGGAGTATGGTCATGTGGTATTCCGGAATTATTGAATAATTTCCCTTTGGGTAATAGGGTTGTTCAAAGAACAGTGGAAATGTCATATTCAAACCATAAAAGTGTTAGAATTAATTGATCTCCTATATATATTTGGGATTTTTTTTTAAATATATATTATTATGTAAAAACAATGTAAATTTAATGCATGTATTTTATTGCATTACACATCCTACCTAAGTAGGACCAACGGCAATAGTTTACTCGGATAACAATTGTGTTTTGGATTCTTAACCCATGGTTCTAAGATTTTTGTCAATATTCAATTATTTTAGTACTATTTATATTTATGGAATGTCAGATTATTGACTCAATATTCATTTTTAATATAATTTAGAATGGAATTTGGGGTAGTCTTAATCAGTCAACTTAAATTTGTTTTTGACTTTAGTATGGAAAGCGATCAAATATTTGTACCGAATCGGTCCTTCCGTCATAGAGTGTGAACTTTGGCTAATGGAACTCGGCCCAGGGGAGGGGGGAGCGGTGTGTTCTGGATCTCTACGAAAAAAGGGGTGGCGCTCAAACTTGCTAACTATCTGTCTGGTGGCACATGTGCCGCCAAGCGTGCTGGTGGCATAGCGACCTCTTCACTGGCTCGCCTTCTAGGGGCTAGCCGCCGCAGTGCAGGCACCCTTTGTGCTTTTCGCCGGCGAGTGAGCTTCTCCAACACATCCCTCAAGTCTTTTGAATAGTCGAAGTGTGAATATCTCAACGCTATCGTCGGACGTAAGTGGTGGTAACTGTTGTCCTGCGTATGAGATGTCGCCGCCGGCGCTACGTAGTCTCCAACTCTGAAGCTTTTCGTGACAGAGAGTATAGGGGTATAGCGTCTATTCTGACTGCCGGAACGACGAGAATGGGCGTGCTCACTGTGCTTCCCCACTCCAGCAATGCACTCTCTCTTCATCTGGCGTTTCATGGCCTCCATCTCCATCGCGATCTTCTTGATGATGATATCTTGATCTCTTAGCTTGTCTTCCAGGTGCTGAGTGTGTGAGTCTCGTCATCGGAGACGCTCTTTTGGGCTGATAGAGCTCCCCTAACTCTTGCGCGTTTGTTTTGCACATCTCTGGGAAGTCCTCACGCGGAGGTCTCTAAACCAGCCATCGTCGGAATGGCAGGCAAGCCATCTCTGTGCCAAATATACTCTGGCGTGATGCCATCGATGGGGGACAGCGAAATATCGTCGTTGCTCGCCATCAAAGATGACCGGAAAAGCTTAGAGGACAAGGTTTTGTTTATCAAAGAACTTTCCACAGACGGCGTCAATTATACGGTGAGCAAATATGCATCGCTTTTCGTACTCCTCATATCCAAGCTTCGCTTTACTCTGAATAACCTGAGAACACAATGACGGTAAGCTACCTGGCAGGTGGTGGCCGGAATACCCCTCCGACTGTCAAGTTAGCATAGTTTTAGAGAGAGAGAAAAGACAAAAGAGAGAGAGCTCTGATAACCAGAAGGTTTCAGTGTGTAAGAGTTTCAGACCTGTTGTATGGAGGCACCGAACAATTTAAATAGCTTCTGTGCGCATGACCCTACTTGTCCTTTTCTAGACACGTGGCTGTACTGCCCTCTCTATTCCTTACACATGCACACGTCAATACTGCCAAACAACATTTGGCCAAATTGCCAAACAGTATTGACTCACAACTTTAGTGGATTCCTCTTCTTACATTTCGATTGAGCCACGTAACAAATCTTACCGAGTTACTTCCTGCATGGCGTTACAATCCGCCCTTTGGAACCACATTACTCTCGACTGTGCAAAATCCGAAGTGTCTAGCCGACTTCTTCAACCGTACCCATTCGTCCCCGTTGACCTTACTCGCCAACGTTAAAGTTCCTTGCCGAGCTGATTTTGCTCACCAAGAAAGAAGTTGCCGAGCTGACCTTACTCACCAACTTTGAAGTTCCTTGCTGAGTAGATTTTGCTCATCAAGAAGCAAGTTGCCGAGCTGACTTTGCTCGCCAACTTTGAAGTACTTAAATCAAGCTGAAACTGAGTAATTCCAATCATGTTACAACAGAAGGGATTTAAGGCCGACGACTGAGCAAAGCGAACCATCAAGCAAAAAGTCTAGCCCGGCCTAGTAATGTAATTCCGGTCACGCAAATGCGCACGGAATTAAGGGGCAATTGAGAGGGGAGTTTGCGCCAAGAAAACGGACTGAGCTAGTTATGACTTGAGCCTTGTCATTGGGTTACGCAATTGAGTTGGCATAGTCGAGGGCAGTTTAGCCGAGGTTGTATATCATGCGGCTGAGTTAGCCCAAGGTTCGAAGTTGGACCGAGCTAGTTGTTCGGCGTGGATCATTAGCCGAGCTAGGTAAGGCGATGGTCCAGGTCGAGCAAGGTCAGCGGGGACAAATGGGTACGGCTGGAGAAGTCAGCTAGACGCTTCAGATTTGGCCAGTCGAGAGTAATGCGGTTCCAAAAGGTGGATTGTAGCGCCATGCAGGAAGTAACTCGATGGGATTTTCTACGTGGCCCAATCAAAATGTAAGGAGAAGAATCTACTAAAGTTACGCGTTAATACCGTTTGGCGATTTAGCCAAATGTTGTTTGGCAGTATTGGCACGTGCACGTATAAGGAATAGAGAGGGTAGTATAGCCACACATCTAAAAAGGACGAGTAGGGTGGTGCGCACATAAGCTATTTAAACTGTGCGATGCCTCTATGCAACAGGTTTGGAACTCTTACACACTAAGACCTTCTGGTTATTAGAGCTCTCTCTCTTTTGTCTTTTCTTTCTCTAAAACTGTGCTAACTTGATCGTCGAAGGGGTATTCCGGCCGCCACCCACCGAGTAACTCACCATCGTTGTGTTCTCAAGTTATTCGGAGTGGAGCAAAACTTGGACACGAGAAGTACAAAAAGCGATAAATATTTGCTCCCCGTACAACTTTTATATTAGTTTGAATTTGTGAGAGAACTATTTGGCTTGGTTTGAACTTGTTAAAAATTTGGATTTAATATTTCCTAGTTGGTTTTGGATAAGATTGGAAAGAATTATGTTTTTTTGCTTTACAAAAGATCCCTTGGTTATAAATAGGTAGAGACTCTCATTCATTCAATTGTATTTTTTAGTTCCCCATGGGGGGTTTTGTTGGCAGGTCTTTGGGTCTCTAGCCTGACCTCTAGTCACTTGGTGTCTAATTGGTGGTGTGATCTTTGGTCAGTTGGTGTCTTCTAATTGAAACTTTAAGTTTCGTGAGATTTGTTTAGGGATGATTTGGATTTGGTGAGAGAATTATATTTTGAGCATGATAAGCTTAGTCATTTATGAGTGATTACTTTATTACTACTATAGCTCTTTGGAGTATTGTTCTCTTTACTAGTAGAATCATTCTCCTTGTGATTGTTCGTAAATGTCGATGTAGACTGAATCACGTAAATATTGGTGTCCAGTTAGTTTGTAATTGTTTCTTTCTCTTAAATTTGTATAATTCTTCTATTCTATATTCAAAATTATCAATTATGATTGAGTTTTTCCGAGACTATCTACGCACACCATAAAATATGTGGTATGTGTCCCCCAAACTAAAATATACATTAGATTCACACAAAAAAATTCATTACCCAATAGTTTACAATCATGCCCCACATAAAGAGTTCATCAAAATTAAACTTTTTATCAGCTAAGTTTACTTATTTTGGTGATGAATCTCTTAAGTGGATGCGATGGGAATGTCTGCTTTCGCATGCGCATCAATTTTTTAAAGAGAAATATTATTTATCATTGTTTTTATTTCATCACTTTGCTTGATATGTTAAGGCTAAGTTTGCCAACTTCAATATAATCTATCTTTTTATCTTTTTATTTTTTTTTCTTCAAATCATCTCTTTACTTTCTGCACATCTTTTCGTAAAAGACAAAAAGTACACTTATTTAAGTCTTCTCAAACAATCCCTAAGTGTATTGATACAATAAAAGTTATGTATGTGTATAAAATCTACACTATTTAATAAATAATGAGACTTATTATATTACATAGAATCACACATAAAAAGTGAAGAGTTCTAGTGAACTATCTTGGTCATATAACACCAATCATTCTTGAATGTATAACAATAATTATATGTAAAAATTATTTTTTTATTAAAAAAAGAGAAAAACTTGAAGTGTTTTTCCTTATAATTTGATTCATTGCAAAAGATTAAATTCTACATGTTTGCAGTGTAACTGATAATATGCGTGGTTGATCTAGTTTGATTTTATATTTGATTTGAGTTAGAGTGTATTACATAGTCTTTAAGAACTACTTTAATTAGTACTTGTGTGAATGTGCGTTAATTGTGTCCTAAGAAGCACGGACACAAATATGGATACAGATGTAGACACGTGACACATGGATTTAAAAAAAAAAAAAATGGGGACACGGACACGGTAAGGACACGACAATGAAATATATTTTATATATTTTTATTTGCCATCTAGATAAATATTATATTTACAAATATTCAATATTAACAAAAAATTAACTATAATTCTATAAAACAAAAAATAAAAAAAATACTTTTAAATTAACATTTACAACATTTATATTTTTTTATGGATAATCTATTAAGTATTTACATTTAAGAAAATAATAATAAACATTCAACAACCAACATTTCACAACAATGCTAGGTATCATGAAAAATCTTTCATGAAAATAATCATGAAAGTTTTGTGATCCTTAAATTACGCTTAGAATAAAACACCACACACTAATCAAGGTAATCTAAAGATCATAAATTTTTCATGAAAAAAATTTCATGATCCCTAACTTTTCCCTTTATCAAAAGTATCAAAAAAAATGAAAGAAAAGACAAGTTGACATGACCCTAGAGTGTTCCTGCCATGCCTTTTGAAAATAAATTTAAGGAAATATGTTATGTGGCGTGTCCCATATGTTCCTACCATAACCATGTAATTATAACATTTATATTTATTTTGAAGTGTCAATGCATTATAGACAATGTCTCTCATAAACTGTACTATAGTTTTATATATTTTGATTCTTGAAATTTATGCGTACAAGATCTAAAACTCTGTTTGTCTCTTTCCCAACAATGTGTCAAATTTTCTTTTTATAAAACGAAATTTTTTTTATAAATTGGATTTATAAAAGAAATTGGACAAGTTTTTTTTTTTTTTTTTTTTGGATTTTTTGCCCTTTTCAAATAGATATTTAGGCCTTATTTGTCATAACTTAAAAAAAGTTAAAAAGTCAAAAAGTTAAAAAGTTACTATCTTATTTAAATCACATCATTTTATTTAAGTCACATCACTTCTCTATCACATTACTTCAAACCCAACTCATACCCAATTTATATTTTATAAAAAATTAAAAAATATATTTATTTAGATCATCTCAAACCACCATTAGCATTGACTTTGCCCTCGGAGAAGATGTTAATCCATTGAGAATATAATGATTTTATGAGATGACATTATCTCTGACAATAACAAAATAAACCCCCGCCTTTTATTAGGAGTGAGAGGATCATATGTTATAGTACACAACAAAAACAATAACTTTGTTTTGCAAATTGCAATAACACTTTTTTTAGCTGAAATTACAATGAAAACAACTCATTCAAACATGGAAATGACTAATTGGAGAATTGCGAGTAACTTTAACGTCTTTCACCGCCACCAACGCCTCCTCCTGCACCAAACCCACCACCATGCCCTGATCCACCACCTACACCACCACCACCTCCTCCTCCAAATCCTCCTCCACCACCAACACCTCCACCAGCTCCACCTCCTAAGCCTACACCAGCGCCGAATCCACCACCTTGGCCTGATCCTCCTCCAGCACCACCACCAGCTCCTCCACCACCACCACCACCACCAACACCTAAGGATGGCAATGGGGATTAATGGGGTGGATATTAATTCCCCACCCCCATTCCCCTATAATAAATTTTCCTCATTCCCCATTCCCCATGGGTACCACCCTCCCCATTTCCTAATGAGTTTGGATTTTCCCCAACCCACTTTAATCCCCATTTTTATTTTATTTTTATTTTTTATATTTAATGTTAACAAATTTTTTTTTTTTTTTAACAAAAGCTAAATATACCTTCAATTTTTTTCTTTCTTTTTCAATATATTTAATGTTAACAACAATTTTTTTTTTATTTTTTATTTTAAGGTTCACAACAAAAACTAAATATACCTTCAATCTTTTTTCTTTCTTTTTAAATATATTTAATGTTAACAACCTCCTCCTCCTTCTTCTTCTTCTTCTTCTTCCTTTTTTTTTTTTTTTTTTTAAGGTTCATAACAAAAGTTAAATGTACCTTCAATCTTTTTTCTTTCTTTTTAAATATATTTAATGTTAACAAATTATTTTTTTTTTTGTAAGATTCACAACAAAAACTAAATATACCTTCAATCTTTTTTCTTTCTTTTTTAATATATTTAACGTTAACAACTTCTTTTTTCTTTTTTTTTCTTTTTTTTTTTTTAAGGTTTTAGCTAAATATACCTTCAATCTTTTTTATTTCTTTTTTAATATATTTAATGTTAACAACTTATTTTTTTTTAGGTTCACAACAAAAGCTAAATATTCATTCAATCTTATTTATTTTATTTGGTTCAACAACAAAATCAAATACACATTAATTAATTAATTAAAAAGTTTGTTTTATAATAATCAAATATATAATTTTGAGACAATCAAATAAGTTTTAGTAATTAAAAAAAATGTGGAAAGAACGTAGAAGATTAAAAAAAAAATTACAACCATCACTCTCTCTCTCACTCTCTTCCCTACATGTTATAAGAACCTGTTTACAATGTTATAAGAGCCTGTTTGAAGAAATAAAATGTGAAAGAACCTGTTAGACATTAAACCATTTTTCTCTTAGCAAATTTGAACAATTCATTTTAATTTATCCAAAATCTAATTATACCTTTAAGATTAGAAGCCCAACCCAACCACATCCTCCAACTCCAAACCCGCTACCATGGCCAGATCCACCACCAACACCGCCACCGCCACCGCCACCTCCACCACCACCAAAGCCACCACCTCCACCCACTCCCCCTCCTGCACCACCACCTAGACCTCCCCCAGCTCCAAATCCGCTACCGTGGCCAGATCCACCACCAACACCGCCACCGCCACCTCCACCTTCACCACCACCAAAGCCACCACCTCCACCCACACCTTCTCCTGCACCTCCACCTAAACCTCCTCCAGCTCCAAACCCACTACCATGTCCAGACCCACCACCAACACCGCCGCCGCCGCCACCTCCAAACCCTCCTCCTCCTCCTACACCACCTCCAGCTCCTCCCCCAATGCCTCCTCCAGCTCCTCCACCTCTACCAAAACCTCCACCAGCACCCCTACCACCTCCAAAACGGCCACCACGACCACCGAAGCTCCCACCTTCGCCAAACCTCTCTTTCTCAACCTTGTCATCTCCAAGAGTAAGGGCACTCAAGTGGAAGACAATGCTCAAGAGAAGAAGAATCACACAAACCCATTTTTGAGACACACCCATTGCCATTGCTAAATGCTTCTCAACTCACTTGGCTCGCTCTCTTTCCACTGAAAGAACACTCCTTATATAACTCTCCCCACTATCTAAACTATATGTAGCCATTAATATTTGCAAATTGCATGGTTATTATGTGACGCGTTAGAACCGTTGGGGCATTGGTTTGATCATTAAATGATAAGAGTGAAGGGTCAAAGTGGACTTTTAAAATTCATTGATTTGATGTTGGTCAACTTACCGACGCTCTATCACAGTCCACAGATCATCATGATTCATGACAATGGATATGAAGATTGACAATCATGTGCCTTCACGTTTCATCAGTATTCACTGCAATGCCATGAAATCTGAATTTTGAAATGCTTTCCTACTACTGTTTGCAGACAACGAAGGAGGATGAACATGAAAGTCTGGCTAGTGGGCCCCTGCATATATGGGCTCTTAAAATAACAAAAATATTAGGACTTGTGAAAAAGTTATTTCAAAATCGACCTAAAAATGAATAATATTGTAGTTATAATAGATAATAAATTCATGTATAAGGGTTCTCTAATGCTCTATTGTTGTTATAATAGATAATAAATTCATGTATAAGGGTTCTCTAATGCTCTATTGTTAGGAGTACACTCAAATTAATGGGTTTTATTTTGCTGTCGATGAGTTTGTTTCGTTTTTTTAATTTTATTTATTTATTAGGAGTGTGGATTAGTTTTAAAGGTCCGTGACGCTATCAAAACCACGTCGTTTTAGTTTTTTTTTTTTTTTTTTTCCTCTTGCTTTCTTTTCTGTCCCTTTCCCTTGGTTTCTTCTCTCACAGGCTGAGAACCCTAACCCACCTAACAGAGCAAGAACAGAGACGAAATTTGTTTGCTTCACTAGGCGTTTTAGAGTTCAAGCTTCACTAGTGGGCCCAAATTTGTTTGCTTTCCGAGAAAATGTAGAATTCCTTTCCAACTCAACTCAACTCAACTTTGGGGAAATGTGTATGAGCTTGAAAAAAAAAAAATCATCACCAAACCATTTCTTATTTTTCTGGTGAAGTAATTCCCTTCTGCAATAGCCGGAAAACATATTAACATATTTTTCTGGTGAAGTAATTCCCATCACTCGCAATATAATATTGGAAATCTTACCAGATGAGTCAAGATCAGACCCATTGAGAAAATTAATAAAAGGAACACATGAGAAATCATACACAAAAAATCAAACCCAAGAAATCTTTTTTTTGAACAGAAAACCCAAGAAATCTTTTTTTTTTTAACAGAAAACCCAAGAAATCAAACATACGAGAAATCAAACCCACCACCTCCCCCAAAACCAGTAATTTTGAGCTCACACCTTGAATTACTCAAAATCACTTCATGGGTTATTGGGTTGAGGAACTCACTGCTCCCTATAGATCTTGGGCTACAACTTGGGGGCTTTTCAATGTGCCTCTTGCTTCAATGTACCAGAGATATCCTCAAAGAAAACCACACAGTGGGAATTTTTTCTTCTCTCAATCTCGTTTGCAAGTTTCAAAGATTCATACCCTTCAAAGCAAGCCCTAGCTTTTTCTTGCTCACAACTTTCTTCAACTCAAGAAATCTTTTTTTTGAACAGAAAACCCAAGAAATCAAACACATGAGAAATCAAACCCAAAGGTTTGCCGACTCGTCGACTGATGTTGTTTCACCTCCGTCCGATCACCTGTCTCCTCTTCGCCTCTCTGTTGTGGTCTCTCAAACAAACATTTGAGACCTTTCAGAGCAAACAATAAAGGAGGAAAGGAAAGGAAAGGAAAGGAAAGGAAAAGAAAAGAAAAAAAAAATAATAAATAATAATAAATATCAAAACGACGTCGTTTTTGGAACACTGCAGCAAGCACCGCAGACAAACACGGCAGAGGATCTGGACTCATTTTCACCTTGGTCTGCATGACGAAGCTCAGTATAACAGTGACTTATGTGGATAAGTTTGTGTAGAGGGTGAAAGTCTGGCCTAAGCAAAATATGGACCCAAATAGGTCCAATTGACCCAAACGAACAAAGCCCAAAACCAAGGGGACCAATCGGAAACGCAATTGGACTTAAATCACTGATTGATCGCTGACAAAAAATTGACCGCCCAATCAAGGGAGATCCAACGGCTAATAACGGTTACAAGTTAGCCACAATATCTGATCAACAAAGATCTGAAGGCCAATAACGATTATAAGTTGGCCACTACCGAAATGACCTCTAGCAGAAGACTGATCGTCCGATCAACAAAGATTCAATAGCTAATAACGAGATTGTAAGTTGGCCACTACTAAAGTGATCCATGACAAAAGTCTTACCGTTCTATCAAGGGACATTTGACAACCAACAAAAATATACCAATTGACTATAAAAGGAAATCAAACAAACTAGTAAAAGACACACGAGAACACAAGAATGATCACACAAGCACATTTTTTTCATTGTATACTTTTTCCACGGAATCATGTCTGACCAAATTACTGATTTGAGTGTCGGAGGGTCCTATAAACTTATTTAGATTAGGAGTGATATTTGATTTTGAGTTTCTCTTACAGGTGCAAAATAAGGCACATTGTCTCACTAATCTCCTGTGAAGACAAATTTACAATCCACAGTTTGCTTAATTGAGAGTGAAATTTTTGACTTGTGATGATATATTTCATTTAATTAAAATTTTACTGAGATTTCATTTGATGTTATTTCACCAAGAAATCCATAAAAAGTCAATTGATATGAATGACGAATACATTTTATACGAAGAATTCTGTGTCGTTTATCTTTCTTAATACAATGTTGTTTTCACATGGCTTGGTGTAGTGAAAGACTGCCAGAATCTGGAAAATTATTAGATGGAATTGTAGTATTATGCGGAATATTACATATGATTCTTTTGACAAATAAAAAATTACAATGCATATATCTAACAAAGATAAGTATTATCTTCCTTAAAATTTCTCTACCTCATTGGTTGAGAGTACTACATGGACATATCCATCTCCCTCTAATAATTATACCAATGTGTATATATCATTGATTCCCTTCCCTATACCAATGTGTATATATATATGGATAAATTACAATAATCTCTTTTAGGTTTGAAAAAAATATACATAACAAGTCTTTTAATTTTGACATAATTACACAAATCTTCCTTTAGTAAGACTAAAATGACCAGAACTAATACGGAAAACAAAGATAAATAAGATAAAAGATACATATTTGTATGAAAAAAAAACAAAACATTTTTCATTTATATGACTAATGAATTATTAAAAAAGATAAAATTAACTGTTATGTGAATTAAAATCTTATAAAAACCTAATGTAATTATGCCAAACTTATAAGACTTACGTATTTTTTCCAAATTTTGAAAAAAAATCAGTGTAATTTGCCATATATGCAAGTGTAAACTTTTTTACGGCTTACACAAATCCTTCAATTTATGACAGAAAATCAACAACCGCAACGTCACCCAATTTATAAATTATACTAAATTTTTTTACACATTCCATGTGGTTAGTGATATATTTTTCAATGTCAAGTAGTGAGGAAAATTTTGAAGCCCATAAATGATATGCCTAGCAATTGACAGAACACAGGAGTCTCGTTACATCAAAAAGTTGCTGAGCTGAATACTGAGATAACCAAACCAAGGGTGTAATTGTTTTGCACTGAAGTCTGTGCAAATACAAAGAAGCACAAAGTGGGACAAAAAAGAGAGAAAAATAATCAAAGGAAGAATGAATGGTGGTTATAGATATTACAAACAAAAAAATGAGGTCCAAAAAAAAAAAACTGGGAGTCGACAAAAAAAAAAGGTGCTCGAGCAGAGCGGCTCCAACATCTACTAGGAACCTCTAATATTTCTGATCAGTGAACCGGTCACCCTTTCGTGACCTTCAGATTGTAACATTTTATAGAGGACGAGTTTTATGGCCCAATGCTTGACCACAGAGAAGAGCGTTGCTCGGGATGGGATATTCGTCTCTCCATGAATTTGCAGGGGAATAAACACGGAGATAGAACTGCTGACCTAAATACTGTCGAGCCCAGTTCTCCGATCTTATGTTCCACATTCCCACATTATCCAAAGGCATGTAAACTGCAGTCCATGAGTTCGGATACACCTGCAAGTACATTAAAATAGTTTCAGTTACTTTTTAGTATGATATTTTCATTGATCAAATTGGCTTACAAACTCATTGGAGGCATTGGTGGATTTGCAAAATGATATTCAGGCCTCGTTTGGGAACAGGCTAATTTAGTAACTTTTTGGCTATTTGGCTAAAAAGGTAGGTAAAAAAAACTTGTATGTTTGGGATGACTTTTTGGCTAATTACGAAAAGATGTGCAAAAAGTAGAGAGAAAAGAGAATCTTTGACTTTTTGGTATGAGTTGTTGGCTTTTTGGCTAATTTAGTAACTTTTTGGCTAATTGGCTAAAATAGCCTCTTGCCAAACGAGGCCTCAATCTTGTTTTGTTTTTAATCTCAACCCGTTTTGGAGTTTTGTTTTCCGTATTTTTCTGTGTTTAATTTTCATATTAAGTCAAAAAAATTTACTTTTATGCAACTAATCTAGATGCAATTAAAGGGTAAAATATTGGTGAAAAAGTTTTAAAAAGTTCAAAAAAAAAAAACAACAACAACAACAACAACAACACATTTTCTTGTTCTTGTCTTCAGTGATTTTTTTTAAAATTTAATTTCTTCAAAATATTTCAATTCTTATGTTCATTGAAAAGTAAAAAGAAAAAAACTGACTAAAATATGAAGAAAAAAACTCATAAAAAACAATTATAAAAAATAAAAAAATAAAAAACTCAAAAACAGTTTTCAAAAACTAAACTAAACAAGATCTCAAATCTAGATAATGCTTTCATAGTGTACCTGAACCGTGCAACGTGAAATTGTGTCCCTTAAATTGTAACTCGATCTTCTGTCAGATGACCACTGTCCTCCATCCATTCTGGTCATCGCACAATAATTCATAATTTAAGATATTTTTAGTATACAAGAATGCGAATATTTTTCTGTTTTCAACCGTTGGATTGTTTTACATATGGCAATAAAGCAATGTTAATCTCATTGGATAAAGCTAAATGAAATGTGATGAGCCAAAAAACTTACCCAACCACAAAGAACACGTGGCCATCAATATGCCACGACTGCACGGTGTCTTCTTGATTCTCAAACACAATCTCAACATAAGCTCGGAAATCAGCAGCCATGACAGAAGTCTGGAGGTAACCACCACCACCAGTTGGGTTATCTGAGATGCTTGCAAGGGAGAAGACCCCCGAAATCTTAAAGTAGTCAGCAAGTTTAAGAGGCGTGTCTGCTGGGATGAACGACACGCTATTGACAGCATATCTCTGCTTGTCAGTGATGATTGGAGCAGAGTTTGCAAGTCTGATTGTCCGGGTAGTGTTGATCATCCCGTAATGGTATGAGCCTTGAGGATTAGGTCTTGGTCCACTTGCTGTTAGATTTTTTTTTTTTTTTTTTTTTTTAATCTGTGTCAGAATTTGATGCAGCTTTTATTTACAATTTATGAAGCAGAAATAGTTAAATAAGCTGGAAAAAAGTAATTATTATAAAGAAGAGGAGAGGTGCTTTTAGTTGCTTCTTTTTTATTATCAACTTTCAGCTTGATAAAAGCCACACCAAACAGACCCAAACAAACTGGCAGGAAACAACTGAACAAAATACAAGTAACAAAAAGCGTACCTAACAGATCGTGCCTGGTTAAGTGACCAATCAATCTGAGTTGTCGGTCCACCAGGGGGAGGACCGGAAACGCTTTCTGCTGAGTTACTGTAATGAAAGATAGATGTTGCCGAGAGCACTGGGGAGGTGAAACGTGTTGAGACAACCATATAGTAGTCCTGTGCAGGCTGATCGGCAGTAACCAGTACAGAGTAGGACTGCCCCAAATGGATGTCGAGGGAGTCATAAGTATTCTGCAGCGTGTGTGTGCCTTCCACCTCAACCAGGAGCATCTTATGCCCCTGGATTCTGAAGTTAATGGAAGTAGTAAGCCCAACATTTGAAATCCGGAACCTGTAAGTCTTGCCTGGAAAACAAGATTGCATACCATAAATTTGCATAAACATGGCACATGTGTAATGAAGATGTCAACCTCATAAATGGTGGCATAATTACCTTGATCAACTGTGAATGTGAACCCATTTGATCCACGACCATTGATAAGGAGGCCATCCGGGAAGGGAAGATTATTCCCGCCATCCAAGATGGCTTTCAAATCCTGAAAGATCCGAGAAATGTGTCATGGTAAAGGCGAAGATTAAAAAAAAAGGCTAAAATAGGGCAAACAGCACATAAGAATTTAGGTGTTTTGGGCGAAAAATGACCAAGGAAATTTCACTATAATATAGAGATTAATGAACCGGCATCTCTCTCAACAACCCTCTTACAAGCTCACAAAATCATCATAATCTTAGAACCCCAAGATAATTCAATATATACAAAGATGCAAAGTTAGCAAAATGGGTCAAAATACACCCAAATACAAATGTTGGGTCAAACTATTGGTTGGGGCTACATCCCCAGACCGCCACAGAAAAGGCAAGAAAAACTTTGCCATTTGCCAGTTAAGTAGGTTGTGCAGGTCATCAACGAGTAACAAGTATAGTCCGTGTCAAATTCAAGATACATGACAACAAGAAGCCCATCAAGACAAACACATGAATACCCAAATGTTCAGCTAAGCAATTATGAAGTAGTGTAGATCAAATTTGTCATTTTTCTACAAAATTAAACAACAATGTCTAGTGGGAATTTAGAAATTTTTCTGAGGAAGCTACTAACCGTGTGATTTTGCTTGAACCAGTCACCTGCCAAAATGGTGTAATCTCCGGCAGGTGGATTGAAAGGGACGGGAATCACAGAGCGGCTGGAAATTTTGATGCCACCGAAGCCCCCTGCAGCCTTGTGGAAGGCAAGGGAGGGGAAGTAGAAGTAGCTACCAATCTGATCCTTGACTTGAAGTACATAAGTGAAGTTCTTCCTCGGTGGGATGGGGCAGTTGGTGCCACACACTCCATCTTGCCATGAGTTCCTTCTCTGCTGCACCCCATTCCTGCCTCAACAATCAAACCACTTTACTGTTAATTTGACAGTTGCACAGTTACAGATAGTATAACATGAAGACGAAAATCTTCAATAGCAGAAATTATCACATGGGTCCGGAACACAATGTGGACTAATGATATTTTGTGATTTGGGAAAAAAATGATTATACACGCGTCACACCGTTTTTCTTTTTCTAATATTGTTTTGTTGGAAAAACCACAATATTTCCTAGGTTGTGTGGATATTCCTAGGTTCCTAGGTTGTGTGGATATTCCTAGGTTGTGTGGTTAGAAAATTAGCAAATATACCAATAACAATGAGCAATAAGGGTTGAAAATTGGAAGCAAATAAAAGTCAGCCCAAAAGACCAAATTTATGTGGTTCGACAATGTGCCTAAATGAAAGGATGAGATTACAATGTGAGCTTCTCTGGTATCAAATTAGAGGCATACAAACATCAAGAATATATTCTTGGCTTACAAGCAACAACCATTTCATCACCAAGGAGGTGGAACACAACAAAATAAACAAATAAAAGGTTTATGTTAAGTGGTTATCCCAAACCATTGATGCAAGAAGATTTGTGACAAATCACTCCCAGCAGAACATAGCTTTGTTGCCGCGAACAACATTATAAACTTCAATCAATATGACATATGAATAAACCACTTAATCTTGGCTTAAAATTAGAAGCAAATCCTAAAATTTTTAAACATGTGTTTTTTTTTTCCACAATGCCCTCTGTCACTGTCACTGTCACTCTTTAGTGATTGCACTTCTATAAAGCGTTGGTTACACATACTTGATTTTCACCTTATTAAATTTCAACTTAAAAAGCTTAAAAGAAAATGCAAAGGCTAACTTTTCTTAAGCTAGGCTTCAGATGCTTATTTAAAAGAATTAAAATAAACTTTTTTTTAAAGTGGAAACAAACAAGCTTAAAAATGAGCCAAATATAATTATCTTTTATATAATGCTTTCTCAGTAGACCATTTTGTTCTTTTCCACTTAGTTGCAACTTATGTATTTTAAAATTAAAAAATGTGTGTAGTGTTTGGTTGCACTAATATTGATTTTCATTTTATTTGACTTTTCAATTTAAAAGGATTAAACTAAGTTAAAAAGTTAATTTTTTTTTTTTTTGTTAAGCTCGCATTTTTAAACTATGGTGAACTTTTTTCAAGTGAAAACAACGCAAAAGGAGAGGGTGTTTGGGCATCCCAAAACATGAGTTTTTGGGCTTTGTCTGTGTAAAAACAAATAAATAAATAAGCCCAAATAAGCATACCTGTTTGGTACAAAGAAAGCCGCATGGCCCAAGTCCCCTTCATGTTTTTTTATTTTTTATTTTTTTTTCAGTGATATGACAAATATGCCCTCATTTATTTGTTTATAAGAGTTCTCCAGCTTGTCCTACATGTATACAAAGATATATCAAAACCCAAAGACATTTGTATTTGACTATAAGCCAAAAAGCCAAAAGGAAACCAAGCAGTTCGGCGTTTTTATTGTTGTTGTTGTTTTCTTCTTTAAGTCAAAAAAAGCAGCTTAAATAAAAGATGTGAGAGAGAAGCCCATGTGACAAAGTAAAGAAAAGGGTTGGGATTTCTTCTACTTTTCAAGCTAAAGATTGGTAAAGTTTGATTTTGATAAAATTTGAGTACATTGATCGCGGAGACGAAAGCCTGAAATTGATGGCTTCATAAATCTATTTTGGTGGGATCTAAACTTATGAAGTGTCGATATTTCAAAATAAGTATCGTATATTCATGTCGGACACATGGATATTTCGGAAACACGCAAACACGGTGAGGATACTTATGGGACACATCACATGGCGTGTCCCCTTATTTAATTAATTTATTTTCAATAAACACGCCGGGGTACTTCAAGAACACATTAGGGACATTCAAGTTGTCTTTTCTACCATTAGTGATTTTGACAAATGTTAAATGTTTATTATTTTTTCTTAAATTTAAATACTTAATAGATCCTCTATAAAATTCATTTAAAAGTTTTTTTTTATAAAAAAATATAGAATTAGAGTTAATTTTTATTAATAATGATTATTTGTGAATGTAATATTAATCGAGATAGCAAATAAAAATATAAGAAAACATATTTTATTAATGTATCTCCGTAGTGTCCGTGTCTCTATTTTTCTAAAATCAACATGTCCCATGTCTACATCTGTATTCATGTCTGCACTTTTTAAATCTAACCTTAATTTTTAATTGATATTGTGGTATTTTATTCTATCTCTTAGTTGATCAAATATTTATTTGCGTTTATGTTTTACACACTGAAGTGTATTTGTTGGGGCATCTTAAAAAAAAAACAAAAAAAAGTGCATTTGAAAAAGAAAAAAACACCTATTTAAATAAGCCTTGAGGGTGTTTGGCAAAGGCTATTTTTTGGTTTTTTTAGACTAAAATTTATAAAAAGACAAAATATGTTAAAATAGTTAATAAGATAAAATGTCACATCAAATCCATAATTATTTTATTTTTTTCTCTCACAAACATTACATCTAATTATAAAAAATCCAACTATCTTCTCAAACACAAAAATTTTAACTTACTAAAATAACCAAAAACTAAAATAGCTTATTAAAATAACAACTTTCTAAACACCCATTTGGCATGCCATACTTTTTGGTTTTTTTGACTATTTTAGCTATAAAAGATAAAATAGATTTTTTAATCTAATAAGACAAAATATCACATCTAACCCATAATCATTTCATTTTTTCTCTTACAAAAATAAAAAAAACAACTAAAAAACTTATCTCAAATAAAATTTTTTAACCCCAAATTAAAATACCTAAAAAATAAAAAATTTAACCCACATCCCAAATCAATCCCTGACTGCCATCTGAGTTGGTAGGTAGGTATATTTTCCACGTTATTGATGAGAGTTCAAATTCTCTCGTTTGCCTAGTTCAAGGGTTCAAGGAGTCAACTTTAGAATATTTTAGAAAGATAATTAAAAGTTATTTTTTGATTTTTTTTTTTTTTTATTTTTTTTTTGTAAGAGGTGAGTTAAAAGTTAAGTTTCCCTTCGTGAGATGGGCCAAAAACACATTTTAATTGTAAGATTTTTTGTTTTTTGAACCAGCATTTTAATTGTAAGATTGAAAATGTGTTTTAGTCCATTTGGGAGAGTTCAACGTATTAACACCCATAAATGGAAAAGACATGAACACTTATAATTTAAGCATTAAATTACTTCCCATCATATGGGTAATGAGATTTGCACCGATCGATTGAAACTTACCGTGGCAAAATGGGATCCTCTGTACGTAAATAAATAGAAAATTGTTACATAAGATCATTTTTTTTTTTTTTGGAAACGCCATATAAACTTTATAAATTAAAAGGAAAAAAAAAATGATATAATTTTAATTTTCTCAATCACAACTAAAATTAAAAATATATAGTAAGACATAATTAACAACCTCGTGAGTTATAATGAAAATTGGTCTTAATTAAAAAAATAGCAATATTAGGTATTATGAAAAATCTTTCATGAAAATAATCATGAAAATTTTGTGATCCTTAGATTACACTTAGAATAAAGCACCACACACTAATCAAGATAATCTAAAGATCATAAATTTTTTATGATCATTTTCATGAACAAATTTTCATGATCCCTACATCCTTTTTAAAGGGTGAATATTAGAATTTCCCTTTTTCTTTTATAAGCACAGTTTAAAACTCCGGAAGTGATTGAGGGCCCGTAATTTCGGGGCTCGAATGCCTCGAAATTCCATTTCAAGTAAAAAAAAAAAAAAAAAAAAAAAAAAAAGGAAAAAAGAAAGAAAAAAAAAAACAGTTTACAAAAATGGAAATTAGGGGTATTAGGGGCAACTTTTTTAGGGCCAGCAATCATTTTCCTTAAAACTCATGATAAGTTAAAATTAGTATTTATATCAATAAATAAAACAATTACCAAGAAAAAAAAAAAAACACTGACCATGAGATGAGAAAAGGCTCGTCCAAACTGTTGAAAACACTGATAATCAAATTGTCATTTGTCACCGACTCAATCTGTGGCCCCGGAAACTGCCCGTTTATCAATATCCCCTGCCCATTCCACATTCATAAATTAATAAACTAACAAAAAAAAAAAAATTACAAATCAAGAACTCAAAATAATTTACAAAAATATGAAGGTGGCCACACCCACTTCTTACCTTAATATTTCTACAATTATTTTGTGTTTTTCAACTGATTTATAATTTTCAAAAAAAAAAAGAAAAAAAAGGGGTAAAGAAGTACCTGTTGCTTAACACCAAGAGGGTAAATATCACCATAAGTGATATTCCAAGTATAGAACCTATATGGATCTTCCCCATTTATGAAGTTGTTGTTCAATACCATCAAAAATAGCACCACCATCACACACCTCCAACTCCCCTCATTCCCTCCCATATTTCTTCTCTCTCTCTCTCTCTCTCCCCTCACTCTCTCTCTAGAAACTTACAGTATGGAAATGCAATGAGAGAGAGATCTGTGAAACAGAGAGAGTGTCCCTCACTCTTTTTCTCTCTCTTTCTCTTTATTTTGTTTATTCTTTTTCTTTTTCTCTTTTGCTTTGTAGCTCTGTTTTACCTGAGACTGCAGAGTCGGTGATGAAGATAGAGAATGAAGGAAAGAAAAAGAGAAAGACAGAAGATGGTGCTTATTTTAGTTAACACATTTATCTCACATTCTTTATTACACTTTTTTATCTTTTAATTTTTTTAAAGGAAAATGAGTGAGAGCACTATCCACTAATGATGTGACAGTAAGCCTTATCATAAATGATTTGATATTTTAGTCTTGGTGTTGTATTTTTTTTTTTATTGAGTGTCATGTCATTAGTGATTTTTTTAAACTTTTAAAATTAGTGATCTCTATCATTGTTGTTTTTTAAAAATATATTATTTTTCTATTTTTTTATAAAAAATCAAAATTATTTATTTATTTATTTATTTTAATCTCATTGACGTGTGTTGCGTTGAGTCTGAGTCTTTATTATGTAATAATGTAAGCAGAGACAGCTATTAGCTGTAATTTCAGACTTTCAGTGACCGCGGTTTAAAAGTACAAAAATTTGACATAGTGCCGTTTTGGGAGAATGAGGACCCTCTCCTTGCAAGTCCGTCCTTGCGCGTGTCCTTGCTCGGCTTGCGGGTCTATTTTTAAGTTTAATTTTGGTAATTTAAATTGTTCATATTTTATGATTTATTTAGTATATTATATCTGTAAAAAATTAAATTGATCGGATATCAGAAACTATATGTTTAGAAAACTGTTTATTAAATTCTTTAAAAAAATAGTTTTTAGTTCAATTTTTCGAACACATACTTTCTGATATTCGATCAACTTGATTTTTTACAGGTATGATATACTGAATAAATCATAAAATATGAACTGTTCGAATTATCAAAATTGGGCCTAAAAGTAGGCATGAAGGCCCTGCAAGGACGGGCGCAAGAAGGAGCCCGCAAGAAGAGGCTCCTGACTCGTTTTGGGAAGCAATCAAAAACGCCACGTTGTTTATTCATGTTCCAAAAAAGCTCCTGGCCCAAAACGTCACTTTATTCATTTGGTAACTTTTCAAAACGCAACACTGAAATTACAGTTTGGGCCTATAAGACAAAATTGAAAAAGTAAAAAATAAATGTTAAGAAATGATATTTTGGTCATTTTGGAGTGATGTGACACTTTTAATAAATATTAAATCAAAAATCAAAAAAATCAATTTTTTATCAACTTCTTAAATCACTTTCAAAAAAGTTAAAAAATTTGGTAGAAAGCCAAAAACCAACTTACATATACCTCTCGAGATTTAGTAAAATTACAGATACTCTATGAGGTTTGAGAAATTACAGATACTCCCTAAAAGCTATATTTGCATAACAAATTGCCCCCTAATTTGTGAGAGCATCTCCTTGTTATGAAAATATAAACCTTAAGGGACAATTTGTTATGAAAATATAAATCTCAGGAGATATCTGTAATTTTTGAAACCTTAAGGGGGTATCTGTAATTTAGCTAAATCTCGAAGGAGATATATGTAATTTTCCCTTTAAAATAAAATCACTAAAGACAAAGTTGTGAGAGCATTTCCAACGGTGAATCAGATTTTTCACCAAATTTGAGTCGAAAATGACCAATTTTACCAAATTTGATACCACTCGCTCCAACGGTGCACTTTCATCAAATTTGTGCCGGGGACAACCGGTTGGTCGACCGGTTAAGCGAAATTTTTTTTTTTTATTTTTTGATTTTTTTTTGAACTTTTTGAACCTTTTAGTGGTCGACCGGTTAGGCAAAAAAAAAATTTTTTTTTTTTTTTTTTTACTGTTTGAACCTTTAGGAGGTCGACCGTTTGGTCAACCGGTCGGGCAACCGGTTGGTCTCTCCCAACGGTCAGGAACAGTGATTTGGTGAAATGCTTCGCCTGTTCTCATTTTGGTAAAAGATTTGCTGAATTCTCGATTTGATATCGATTTGGTGAAACCGTTGGAGCTCAAAAAAGTGACTTTTTCATCAAATTTTAAATTTGATACCAGATTTAATGAACCGTTAGAGATGGTCTAACATATTTTAACAAATAATTTTAACAACTATGTTGGAGATGCTCCAATACCAAGTCAATAATAAAACAAATCTCAAATCCTAATAAAAAAATAAAACATACCCTACACACCAAACAACGGAGAATTGGGATCCTCCCCTTGAGCCCCTCCTTCATTCTCTCCTTGCATGGGCCTTCGGGTCTACTTTGAGGCCCAGTTTTGATAATCCGAACCGTTCATATTTTTAGATTTATTCAGTATATCATACCTGTAAAAAATCAAGTTGATCGAATATCAGAAAGTATGTGTTCGAAAAATTGAACTAAAAACTATTTTTTTAAAGAATTTAATAAACAGTTTTCTAAACATATAGTTTCTGATATCCGATCAATTTAATTTTTTACAGATATAATATACTAAATAAATCATAAAATATGAACAATTTAAATTACCAAAATTAAACTTAAAAATAGACCCGCAAGCCGAGCAAGGACACGCGCAAGGACGGACTTGCAAGGAGAGGGTCCTCATTCTCCCAAAACGGCACTATGTCAAATTTTTGTACTTTTAAACCGCGGTCACTGAAAGTCTGAAATTACAGCTAATAGCTGTCTCTGCTTACATTATTACATAATAAAGACTCAGACTCAACGCAACACACGTCAATGAGATTAAAATAAATAAATAAATAAATAATTTTGATTTTTTATAAAAAAATAGAAAAATAATATACTTTAAAAAAATAAAAAGATAAAAAAAGTGTAATAAAGAATGTGAAATAAATGTGTTAACTAAAATAAGCACTATCTTCTCTCTTTCTCTTTTTCTTTCCTTCATTCTCTATCTTCATCACCGACTCTGCAGTCTCAGGTAAAACAGAGCTACAAAGCAAAAGAGAAAAAGAAAAAGAATAAACAAAATAAAGAGAAAGAGAGAGAAAAAGAGTGAGGGACACTCTCTCTGTTTCACAGATCTCTCTCTCATTGCATTTCCATACTGTAAGTTTCTAGAGAGAGAGTGAGGGGAGAGAGAGAGAGAGAGAGAGAAGAAATATGGGAGAGAATGAGGGGAGTTGGAGGTGTGTGATGGTGGTGCTATTTTTGATGGTATTGAACAACAACTTCATAAATGGGGAAGATCCATATAGGTTCTATACTTGGAATATCACTTATGGTGATATTTACCCTCTTGGTGTTAAGCAACAGGTACTTCTTTACCCCTTTTTTTTCTTTTTTTTTTTGAAAATTATAAATCAGTTGAAAAACACAAAATAATTGTAGAAATATTAAGGTAAGAAGTGGGTGTGGCCACCTTCATATTTTTGTAAATTATTTTGAGTTCTTGATTTGTAATTTTTTTTTTTTTGTTAGTTTATTAATTTATGAATGTGGAATGGGCAGGGGATATTGATAAACGGGCAGTTTCCGGGGCCACAGATTGAGTCGGTGACAAATGACAATTTGATTATCAGTGTTTTCAACAGTTTGGACGAGCCTTTTCTCATCTCATGGTCAGTGTTTTTTTTTTTTTCTTGGTAATTGTTTTATTTATTGATATAAATACTAATTTTAACTTATCATGAGTTTTAAGGAAAATGATTGCTGGCATTCACTCTTGTATAATAGGTTTGTAATAGGGTTCAGACTTAAAATAAATATGACCGAAGTAAATTTCTGAATAAAAATTTTGCGTATCCAACATTGCA